TCATCTTTCTTAGGTGCTGATAAGTTTTGAGAGTTGGCTTAATCCACCAAAATGAATTAAATAAGATTGTTTGTTTATTGTTTATCACCCTGTGAGCAACCAGGGTGATTTGGAGATGGGGTCCCTGTGTAGTTGCTGGTTGATACCTCACTGAATAACATTCAGGAGGTCCATTGCATGCAATCCAAGGTAATTTGGGTAAGGTGACTTGCACAAGAACACAACCATGACAGCAACGACTGGCCCATTTTACACTTCCTGAGAAACACATTTTGCCATGGGTAATGAGCATTGAACCATGCACCTCGAAGCTACACCTACGGTTATATAACCTGATGAACTGTCATAAATCTGTGTAAATAGGAGGAGTGACAGGAACTCCCATACCTGTAAAATATCCTATTTCTGTGGACTTTTTTCATTTTTAAAGTATCTTATTATTCAATAAGCGTTTGATCTGCTAAGAAATATACTGTTTAATCCTGTATTACATAGTGCATACAACAGCTGTAAGGACACATGATACCAGGTGGTGGTTGGGTTAGTAAATGTGTTAATTTTCACATTGATCCTGATTGCCAGTAGTAAATGTATGCAGGGAACATCCTGATGGTAATTACCTTTAAATACTATGTTTAGTAAATGTTATTTGTAATTACCTTGGTTAATTAAATACCTGTAGGAAGAGACTTCTGTGATAAGAATAAACATCTCATGCTTCCTGTTTAAGGGGGAACTTAGTCTGAAATGATCTTGTACCTTTGTTCACTGTATGAGGGGACATTTGTCTGTTTGAGATGAAACATTGTTCCTGACCTTACCTGTATGAAATGTTTTGATCTTACCTGTAAGAAATGTTTTGAGCTTACCTGTATGAAATGATCTTGTACCTTTGTTCACTGTATGAGGGGACATTTGTCTGTTTGAGGTGAAATATTGTTCCTGACCTTACCTGTATGAAATGTTTTGAGCTTACCTGTATGAAATGATCTTGTACCTGTGCTACCTGTATGAGGGGACATTTGTCTGTTTGAGGTGAAATATTGTTCCTGACCTTACCTGTATGAAATGTTTTGAGCTTACCTGTATGAAATGATCTTGTACCTGTGCTACCTGTATGAAGGGACATTTGTCTGTTTGAGGTGAAACATTGTTCCTGATTATACCTATGATACATGCATGAAGGGCAAACTGAGCTGAATGTTGAGACATGTGGCCCTCATGTTGATTTACTCTGTTAAACCCAGGACACCAACATCTACAGGCATAAGTATAAACACAGTACAATGACTTAAGCTTATGATGGTTTGGTTAAAACTCAGTCAGTTGACAATCTAGATCATTAGTCTGTACAAAATATACCAGTTCTATAATCCAAAGCAGCTTCAGTTTATCATTTCCTGGACATGTGCATTCTTGAAGTTACAGAACCCAGGAATTAAACAAAAATAATTTCCCCATATAAAACGACAGATTTGTACAGTAATATAAAACTGTGGATATACAATGATTTAACGCCTGTTTAATGATCATATCCATCCCTATTTGTTAGTTCTACTCATTAAAACACCATATAAATTCATGTATATCTCACATACATTAATTGATATGAATCTTATATAGTTATCACTGGAGGTAATAGAAAGTGTTTGTAGACCTTCTGGTCATAATTGTATGGTGTCTAGCCCGTTTGGTTAGAGTTGGTTGTTCAACTCCATTATCATCTACATCAAATCTAACAGAACCCTTCAGGTCATCCAGCTTTTTCATGTGTGGCAGTTTTTCACTTTGATCCTTAAAAACTAGATCACATGTTGTTGTAAGATCATGGTCAGTATAATGCATGTGTTGGTCAACAATATACTTGATCATATCAAACTTTCTTATGATCTGGATTGTTCTGATTGTTAGGATGATTTGCATGGCCTGGAGCAGGAAATGAAAGATGGTGATTATCAAATATCAAAGAAGAAATTGTGAAAGAGTTAGTAAGAATTAGATTGTATCTTCTGTTACACATCACACATGTGGTTATTATGTAAACAGGTTCCAGTAATGGAAAATGTGTTAGTACTTTACATATCACAAACTAATGGAATTATTGTATATCATTAACGAAATCAGAAAGATGCTAAATATTTCTCCTAGAAAACCTCTGTTAGATCACACAAGGTTTTAGCTAATGAAATTATCATATATCATGGTGAGATATCTTTATTGAAATCAAATCACACCAGCAAAGTGCATCAATTTCAGGAGGAATGATTCAGCACTGATCGTGTGCTACACAATTAAAAAACAAAACATACAGTTTTATGTGTGATATTTCATTTTTTTTTTATCAGAAAATATACTGAAAGTGCCTGTGTAACTGTCTGCAGTGTTATGCTCTGTTTCTGTTGAAATTCATAAAAATGCTTTCCATTTAAGATTTTACTTTGAAATTTCGAAGAACTTCAAGTGATAAATGGTGAAATGGGTAGACATAATTTTGTCTGACATTAATGGCCTGTGTTGTGATCCATACACGACATGAAATGGTTTTATTATTATGACAATTTTGTGACTTTATTTGGGGATGATTTTATGGGCCAGAATCAGTGGGGTGCTGTTTATTCCACAGGTAGCTACATCGATTGACTAGGTACTTTCCATAATCCGGTGATTAACCTCCACCACCCCTCATTGAGACGAAGATATTACAGGCTGGAAATCAGACTCTACCTTGTCCATACTGCTGGATGTGTCAGCCTGTAACCAGTGGGCCAGAAGTTATAGTGTATATACTTACAATTCCCAGCTACAAGCTGGAATAATAGAACTGAATACCTTATCCTCATATATCATGTTGTAAATCATGATTATTTCTAAATCTTTTTGTGAAAAGGAGAAATCAGTTTTCATGTTTTTATTGACGTGGGACTAGTGTAGTGACCATGAATTGGAGTCGTCTCTGAACCATAAGTGAGGTGTATTATTGTCATAAACTTTACCATCATAAACGTAAAAAAAAGGGTAATTCGGAATCTCTGGGTGGCTTTGATCTAGCGAGGAGAGAAAGTTGTACTTCTATATTAGAAGTGGTGTCTGGCCTCTTCTGTGTTGTTGGGGTCATGTTATACAAACATGGACCCATCTGGATGATGAAGTTTATCTGTATAATTTATTTTTGATCTTTAAAATCATTGAAGTTGAAAGTATAATACAATATATCATGCTAACTTTACAAGTCAGGAATTCCAATGTTTACAACGCATATATTGGTTAAGTATTTCTTCAAATCAGAAGGAAATTTTGTTTTGAAATTTAGACAGGTAAATTCTAGACCAAAAGATTGTATTTGGTTTTTAATATTCATTTATTTGTTTTTTTTTTCATTGTTGTTTTAAACTAAAGAGAAAATTGATTTCGCTTTTAGTGGCATGGTTGTGTTTACATGAATGCATTTCTGTCTCAATGTGTTATTCCAGGAGAATCCTATTGTGATACAGAAAACATGCTGTCTGAGGTAAATAAAACAGACAAGATCAAAATGATTTTTAGTTTTTTATTTTCTTTAGGCTTCTTTTTTTGAAGCTGGAACATACAACAGATTTCATATAAATAATAAAAACACTGAAAAAAACATATTCTACAGCAAAAAGTGTGAACAGTCATGTATTGGGCGTAAATGGTGTGTTAGAGTGTGTTAAACACAAGGTCTGTCTGGTTTGCTACAGATCTAGTGATCATTGTACAGTTATGACAGCACAGCAACTGGAATGTTTTGATAATATGTAGTTATAATCAGTAGACCAGGTTTTTCTTCCATCACATTAAATATTTTTTTCTTTTGTGTAAGAAAACAGATAACACTCGTATGTAGGAATTTCTTTCTTACTCTCAAAAGAATTTATTTCACGTGACTGTCTGAATATTATTCAGTTTGATTCAGTTAAAAACTATTGATAACTATAAAGTTGATAGGGTTTCAAGTATTCTATTTATTTTGTTTCTTCTTGAAACAAAGATTTAATCTTTCCATTAAATTGCCTTTGTATAATCCTACACTGTTTAAGATAAAGTGTCTTTTTACCACTTCAAAACTGTACCAGAGGTGTTGTGCTTTAAAACTTAATTTGAAAGCGATAAGCTATACACCTCTATGTATAATTCCCGTTCTTAACAGCAAATTACACATTAAATTTTAACCAAACAGATATTTTATACTATCCTGAATGCGTTTCTCAGATCGCATTGCGTAATATTAACAGCTAAATGGAACGCTATGTCCATAAATAAATAATGTGTACAGTACAGTATTTACAGATAAAGGTCCATTTGTGATGTTTACGCAGCCAAATCATTGACAATTTTTAACTATACTTGACAGTTATTTTGCTCACGGTCCCTAGTAAGAGTTGCTGTCGACAATGTAACCCTCCACCCACCAAAAGAACTATTGAACACATCCTCTTCATTTGATCTGGCCAATCCATTCTCAGTATTAGGGGTGACATCCCAGTGATGGATATTATCGGTAAATAGAAAATAGATACATGAAATGCTGATGAATGGTGTATTGAAAACAACACTGGCAGAAGTTCTACGTGTAGACTTTGTGTCATGGTATAGTTAATATCAGACCATTGTTTACAACAAACTCCAGGAGCACAAAATGGAGGACTAAGATCACGTTAAAAATCTATATAAATTATTGAATTATATAGAGTTTATGTCATGTAAAAATACAGTAGTATGGCCCTAAGAACTTCAGAGAATTGTTGGTGTTGTTATATCATTTTGTATATAATGTATTTTATATCACAAAACGATTCATTACAATATCACATAAAAGTCCCTTGTGTAGAGTTTGTTGATTTGTGAGTTGTATAATAGATCGGAGATCTCACACAGTAACCAATGTCTGACTCAGCACTAGGATTTCAGTTTTTGTAGAAAATATTGTTTTAAAAATTGTAGAAATTGACAATTTACAAAAACGTCACACTCACTGAGTACAGATGTTTAAGAATTGAAAGTTTTAAAAAAAGTGACATAATTCACAAAACAGGGTCCTATGGTAATGGAGATTCTGCATGTACTCAATCTGATATCGGACAAAAAAGATATAAAGATGAAAATTTCAAACTATGACAATAGCACAACATTTTTCTTTCTTGACATGCAGCACTTGTGAATGGTTTGAAATTCTACTACACAAAGGGTCACACTAACACACATTTACATTGTGATACAATTTTACTCTGCCCATTCTGACCCCTGACAGAACTGTGGATTTGTAGGGTCATTATAATATAGGAAGAATCAGTGATTGTATCACAGATTCTTACACTGATAGTCTAAACCATCAGTTGAACACACTTTATAATAAATCCCATCATACAACAGAAATCACTGGTTCTGGTTGTGTAAACCCCAATAATCACAACCATTGAAGATTTCTCTCTTACACACATCTATTGTATATCACTGGTAACACTATACAACAGAGTAGGCCATGGCTGCACCCCGCTCCTCTATGTTTGGGTGGTGCACTGTAGCCATAGTAACAGTCAGCTGTCCCATTTGTGGCGATATCACTGATAGAGGTTGTGATTTTATATCTGTTAGAATCTCATTCACATCAACACATTCCTGTCGTGTCTTCTGATTGGCTGGACATTCCTGTCTAGTCCTTTGATTGGCCGGAGACCTACTTTTCCGTCTTGACCGGCGACTAGATATTCTTACATTATCACAGTTTGGGGGGATATTAACAGTCTGAGGCTGAGATAAGCTATCTAGGGGTTTAAACAATGGTAGTTCCTGTGCATTACTATTTTGGGCACTGTGTAAGTATTGTCCCGAACGCGAACTCCTGAAGCCCGAGTCCTCGGAGTCTGTAGAAGCTTGAGAATGAGGACGCTGTCTTTCAAATCGGTACTGGATCTCACTTAGTTCTGACATACCACTGTCATGGAATGTATTGTACATGTGTCTGGTGTCTTCCGCAGGAGTGTCAGGACTGACGTCGAAAGCTTTGTTATGATGCGGTAGAATACTCTGGCCATCTTGGGAGTTTGATGTTCTATAGATCCATTTTGGGGGTAGGGGAGGACGTGGCACTTTATAAGCCTCTCTCCCTGAACGAAACTTCTTGTGGGGATCAAACTTTTTGGTCATGATCTCCTTACGTAGTCTGTATTTGTTCCAACACAATATAAACACGATGAAGAGGGTGATGGTGATTATACACGGTATGACAATTCCAAGAAAAAAGAGGTAGTTGAGTGTCATTATGTCTGTCATGCTGAAGTTGGTGTTTCATCGTGCAGCCAGCTGTAAGCCACCATGATTTTAGGGCAGGTCCAGTTCCATACATCAGTCTGTAAATAAAACAAGAATCATTAGATTTCCATGACTGACCGCCTCGCATCTCTAAAACATCCTGCTCAGTATTACATGTTAACTCTACACTGTAATGATTGGTATGGCATATGTAGGTGTAGATATATATTTAAATACACAGACATTAAAAGTTCATTATTTACAAGTTATTTTTAAACATAGAATTTCAAGTATTAAAAACAAATTCCATGGTAATATTTTACCTAAATAGACCTATATGTCCTACATAAATGTGCTGGTTGTGTACCTGCACAGCTACTGGTTCTGTCTGATGATCATTGTAGTGTATCTTACTGTCTGTACCCTACAGCCATTAACTCACTCACCCAGAACCAGTGAAAACTTATCAACTTTCCTTGTCTTTACCTTCTCCCTAACCTCAAATGAACCACAACATAGGAAATGAAGGATAATCTTGATGGATAATTGACCTTATCAGGTGAAAATGGACTGTCCTTTGGGTTCAGACCCTACAGTAATTACACCCTTCAAAACCAAACCATGTGATTTTAACTTTCAACCAATTAAAAAAGCATGGTAGCACCATACTGATTATAATTTTATCAAAAAGCTTTAAAGTGTTTCCTGAACGGTTCTTATTTGACGTTAGACTGCACAAGAACCGGGTGACCCAGCCATAATTGTGGGGAACGTGGTTTTCTACACGACTTTATTTAGATGTACCCACTTATGTTCATTTTACAACATGTGACCTGAGACAAGTCAAAATTCCTGTTAGATGGTCCCTATAGTGACCCATTTGTCAGGGGTTAAGAGTGTGGGGATAAGAGTCAGGGTTGGGAGTGTGGGGATGAGAGTCAGGGTTGGAAGTCAGGGTTGGGAGTGTTGGGATGGGAGTCAGGGTTGGGAGTGTGGGGATGACAGGCAGGGTTATAAGTGTGGGGATGACAGGCAGGGTTGGAAGTGTGGGGATGAGAGTCAGGGTTGGGAGTGTTGGGATGGGAGTTAGAGTTGGGAGTGTGGGGATGACAGGCAGGGTTATAAGTGTGGGGATGACAGGCAGGGTTATAAGTGTGGGGATGACAGGCAGGGTTATAAGTGTGGGGATGACAGGCAGGGATATAAGTGTGGGGATGACAGGCAGGGTTATAAGTGTGGGGATGACAGGCAGGGTTATAAGTGTGGGGATGACAGGCAGGGTTATAAGTGTGGGGATGACAGGCAGGGTTATAAGTGTGGGGATGACAGGCAGGGATATAAGTGTGGAGATGACAGGCAGGGTTATAAGTGTGGGGATGACAGGCAGGGTTATAAGTGTGGAGATGACAGGCAGATGACAGGCAGGGATATAAGTGTGGAGATGACAGGCAGGGATATAAGTGTGGAGATGACAGGCAGGGATATAAGTGTGGAGATGACAGGAGTAAAACTACCAGGAAAATGGAGAATTAACAAGAGAAACTTTAAACAAATGCTATTGTCCTGGCTAAGTTAGCAAACATGAAATGTATAGCTATTCACACTGTTAGCGTTTATAAGATTTTTAATTGTTCTTTAAAGTACAATTTAAGCTATGTATTAATTGAAGATGCCAGTCAGATATTTGTATGCTTTGAAAGACATGATCTGACCAAACCTGGAGGTTCAGAACCATGCACTTCAAAGCAGACTAATAAATATCCTAAACCAGTTGTCAGACAGCAGAAAGTGATGTACGTGTTATCCTCAGGCAGTGGACTTGTGCCTGATGTACACAAGGAAGCAGGCGACAGTCTTGGTCTCCGAGGTGTTTGCCTTGTGGCATTAACTGCTGGTGGTCAAGCTCACCTGTAGCACAGGTGTGACCTGTTGGTGTAACTTACACCCATAGCTAACACTCTGTCACAACTCCCTTTGTCAAACATGCATTACCAGTAGGCAAAAAGGATATTGGTAATTTAGAGGTGTGGCAAAATTTCTTCTGGGATTTTTTCATCTTTTCAATGACAAGAAAAAATCTTTTGTGAACAATACAGTTTTTAATGGAAAATTTTCTCATAAAGGAAAATTTTGAAAGTTTCCTTAAACAATTTTTAATATATAACATTGTGATATGTCTATAACACAATATTTCTCTATATGGTCAGTGTCTGGTTTTTATGTATGGTCTGTGTTTCTGTATTTCTCTATATGGCCTGTGTTTGGTTTTCCACAGCTGCTCGAGACTTATGAGGTCTAGTACGTTAATTTTTTTTAGTTTTTGAGAGTTTATTTATACACTACAAATATTAAGGTAATTTGATATCCATTGAATGGCTTGAATTTCATAAGGTACACAAAATCATTGACACAAGACTGTCTACCAGAGTGAGCTCTTCAGAGGCCAAACAAGGACCAAGTCCAACATTCACTCTCAGGAAAGGTCTTCCATATAAAGAAAGCAGTGGAATAGCAAGGAAATTCATGTCCATGTAAAAAAAAAAAAAAATTTAAACACCATCTAAGGAATTAACTGAAGTGAGGTATGATATAGGTGATTCATTACCCTGAAAATTAGGAAATTAGCTGATCTCAAAAATAAACCAACAAACATAAGCTGAGAATAGGTTTCTGACATTTGTGTTTGATATTAAAGAAAATAAGTGACGTCCTAAGTTTTAGTTTTTATGTTAGCTTAATTATACATTGTTTTACTGGCCTGGTAATGTAAAGGAACTGTGATACCAGTGATACTAACAGTGCATTAGAATTGCTTTAAGTTTGCCCTCAAACTGATAAAATTCTAAATTCTGTTTTCTTGCAGAAAAGGTATTGAAAATACTAGAGACTTGTATCATGAACTGCACGTGAAGTTGAGAGTTGTGAAAGATCCCTTGTTTGTTTGTAACAATATTTCCTACTTACAACTTTAACCTGCTGGTGCAAGTCTGGACAGAAACTTGTGGTCTACAATCTGTGATTAAAAATCAAACTTTTTTCTTTATTGTTGAAGGGAAACCTGTTGTAATATGAAGAATTGGTGATATTTGTAATACAATGTGTATTGTTGTAGTAGTTACCTGTCGAGTAGTTAGTGTTACAGGATTAAAGGTGTGTAAATTAGAGACAGTGATTGATTTTTCATAGTTAGGAAGTAATGCTAGAGACAGCCCATGGGGTTTTTGGCTTGCTGTGTAGCCTACAGCATATTGTGATCGCTGTTTTAACGTAGAGGGCGATATGTGTTCCCCGTTTTATATATAAAAATGCTTTACATACCAAGGTATGTGATCATTATAGCCAACACCTGCACGACTGTCAACATGATTGCACTAATAATTCATGTACATCTAGGAAAGTTAAGGAGTTTCCTCACTGAATACGTTAACAGATCAGGTTGACTTACCAGCTGTGGTAAATGTGCAAGTGTTTCTTATATAGTTCACTGGTTTTATGATTTAAAATGAAGAAACATATAATGCAGTATGTTTGAACATTCACACCCTTGATATCATGATTCAAGTAACAAAAAATACCTCGTAAATATAGCCATATCTTTATTATTATATCTTTTTATGTCGGTCTACTTTACACACTGCCTTGAGATAATATCTCCTAATGTTGTGTGTGTGTTATGTTATCAGACAATGCTATCAGGAACACTTTAGGTCACTGTTAGCTAATTCTTTATAGTGGAAGTCTAAAGCATTTTATTGGAAACAATAAAAACACTTAAAACTACAAATAAAATAGAAAAATAACATTCTTACGGCTTTTCTGTACTTCCTGTAAATCAGGTTTAAACATACTTTGATACATGTATGTTGAAGCATATCATCAGTCATGTTTTTGATTTATTAAATTCAGTTATATATTAAAAATATTCATGACCTAGCCATTAGTAAGCAATATCTTTTCAGTAAGGAAATCTTGACACTTAGAAAATGAAATAAACACTTTTTAACTCACATGGTCATACATCAATACCAGACAATATTTCTATTTGGTAACTCAATGGGGCACCTTAAGATTCATGACAATTTTACATCGACGACTGTACTTAGTAACTCACAAGACAATATTTCTACTTGGTAACTCAATGGGGCACCTAAGATTCATGACAATTTTACATCGACAATTGTACTTAGTAACTCACAAGACAATATTATGTGTACTTGGTAAATCACAGGAAGAGCTGTGTGATACAAGACAATATTATGTGTACTTGGTAAATCACAGGGAGAGCTGTGTGATACAAGACAATATTATGTGTACTTGGTAAATCTCAGGGAGAGCTGTGTGATACAAGACAATATTATGTGTACTTGGTAAATCTCAGGGAGAGCTGTGTGATACAAGACAATATTATGTGTACTTGGTAAATCACAGGGAGAGCTGTGTGATACAAGACAATATTATGTGTACTTGGTAAATCACAGGGAGAGCTGTGTGATACAAGACAATATTATGTGTACTTGGTAAATCACAGGGAGAGCTTCTGTGATACAAGACAATATTATGTTTACTTGGTAAGTCTTTTAGAAAGGCTGTGTGATACAAGACAATAGTATGTGTACTTGGTAAGTCTTTTGTAGGGGGTCTGTGATACAAGACAATATTATGTGTACTTGGTAAGTCTTTTGTAGGAGGTCTGTGATACAAGACAATATTATGTGTACTTGGTAAGTCTTTTGTAGGAGGTCTGTGATACAAGACAATATTATGTGTACTTGGTAAGTCTTTTGTAGGAGGTCTGTGATACAAGACATTATTATGTGTACTTGGTAAGTCTTTTGTAGGAGGTCTGTGATACAAGACATTATTATGTGTACTTGGTAAGTCTTTTGTAGGAGGTCTGTGATACAAGACATTATTATGTGTACTTGGTAAGTCTTTTGTAGGAGGTCTGTGATACAAGACAATATGATATGTGCTTGGTGAGTCTTTTGGAGGGGGTCGGTGATACAAGACAATATTATGTGTGCTTGGTGAGTCTTTTGGAGGGGGTCGGTGATACAAGACAATATAACTGCTTGTTGTCAAGTCAGTAAATGAAGAATTCTTTAAATGTTAATGAAGATGACATGTGTTCATACAATCCTTCACACAGGTGTATTACATCAGATCTATATTAGGGTAATTAAATAGGCTTGGATAAATTAGCTGTTTTAATGTTGTCAGACCTACTGAGATAGCTAACTATACAAGGCTATCTTTATCATCAACAAAATACATGTCAGTAAATGTGGATTACTCAGTAACATTTAAACAGGATTGAGTTGGTGGTGACTCCTGTGTATACAGGTCTGGTACATTGTTGGATATATGTTTGTCATCGTAGTTAGAATATCATAGTATGGAATAGCTTTTGTCTCGTAAACTCGTGTATTTAATACATCAAACCACAAGTAGTCATATCTTACCTTGAATTGGAATAAATAAATCTCAAAAAAACTAATCAACACAACCGAAAACTGGCATAATATGCATAAACTCCATCCACGAAAAGGACACACAGGTAAACCTCCCAGCCATGTGCTCTGAAATGCTTACAGTGTAAAGCGAGCCTGCTGTACAGGTATCACAGACGACTGACAAAGGGTTCAGAGGTCAAAGGCAATATACGTCTCATGACCTGAAGGTGTAAATACAGTCTGCCATACAATTTCATCAAAATATTGTTAGCAATTTAAAAGAAAAAAAATGGTTTAAGGCAGTTCTAGGTTTTAAATCTTAACGGATTATTGAGAACAACACTAATTTGGAGAGAAAACCAGGCCCTGCTATAATCATAAATACCTGAGGCTGTGTGCCTGGAGAGAAGGTGGTGAGATGTTGATATAGTTTATTCCACACCATGAAATCAGAACTGAAGGAAATCTTTTTATATCCAATTCCAATGATAGGCTGGTGGAGACTAATGTGAATGATAATACACACAATTAGTGGCCTGTACTGTGATCTGCTACCCAATGGTGTAGTCTTGGCTTTGTTTAACTTAGCTATTGCAAGCAACACGATTCATTTCAGTGAGTTGTACTATTGAGGGAAAACTTAAACAAATATTTGTCTGGGCTATATAGCCTTGGCCACGACCAATAATTCAGTCTATATATCTCACTACTATTGACCACAACTTAGCCTATTTTCTTTCTTAAATATGTTTTCTTAGTAAAGAAACATTTGAATGTGTTTTGTCACATTTAAATTGATTAAATCACAATAGCAGTAGAATTAAGGTCCATGCTTGTTCCATTCTACCTGTGCTCCATTCAGACCCAAGTTTTCCAGGCCCCTTTGTCCAGACTAAACACACTAGCTCAGTCAATCTTTATTCATTAAATATTATTGGGAGAAATCAATTGATGACCGTCGCTATGAATTACACCACATGGTCAGTTCTGACTGACCACAAAGTATTCTGCAACAACACAGGCAGCTGGCTCACTAGACTGTAAAAGTAGGAGACCTATTGTTACTGAGATCATACAAAAATGGTATTGTTGATTTTGTCTGGTTCTTGATCTGATTCTATCAGTTACAAAAAGTGTAGTATATAGTAACACAACTGGTATTGGATTTACCAGGTACTATAGTAACACAACTGGTATTGGATTTACCAGGTACTATGGTGACACAACTGGTATTGGATTTACCAGGTACTATAGTAACACAACTGGTATTGGATTTACCAGGTACTATAGTAACACAACTGGTATTGGATTTACCAGGTACTATAGTAACACAACTGGTATTGGATTTACCAGGTACTATAGTAACACAACTGGTATTGGCTTTACCAGGTACTATGGTAACACAACCGATATTGGCTTTACCAGGTACTATAGTAACACAACTGGTATTGGATTTACCAGGTACTATGGTAACACAACCGGTATTGGCTTTACCAGGTACTATGGTAACACAACCGGTATTGGCTTTACCAGGTACTATGGTAACACAACCGGTATTGGATTTTTTCAGTTGCTGTGGTACTTCAACCAGAACTGACTCAGTCAGTTGCTAAGGTACCTTCACTGTTTTGTCAGTCTCGATCATTTCATGTAATTTTCTGTCTCATGCAGACTATCAACATTTATTTAACTTATTTTAAAGCAGAAAACATGCTGTTTTATTTGCAGGATAGTGTGTTATTTTTCCATATTAAGGAAACAATTAGGAATATCTCCCCAATTATAAAAAAAAAAAAAATCTTTAATTTTCCCATTTCATGCAGGAAGAGGCTGGTGTCAAATCCTGGTGGTAAAAATGGATTTCAGACTAAGGTCTTGTAATAACGTTATTATTTCTCAGTCGTGTAAATCAGCTTGATGAATTTTTTTGTTGTCAATATCCCAATTACATTATTTTAATTTGATACGGATGCCTGACTCATTCTAGTAATGGATCTGTTTTGAGCATAATTGAACAGAAATAGTTATTTATGTCTTGGCGGAGAGGATGTAGTAATTTATACAGTTGTTCAAGCATCATTTCATTAAGTTGTATAATTGAAATTTAAAGACGATTGTTTAGCTCTTATCTCACAGAAGTAGTATAATGCCCTGTGGAGACCTTCTCCACTGCTGTTTTGCATGTTTTCCATTTTAGCTTTTGATAACATGTAAATGATTTAGACAGAAATTCACATACAGCTTAAAGCAATCATAACAGAAATCCATGTGAAAAGGTTGGCAATTACACACTGAGTGAGTTGTTCAAATATGGGGAAAAACGAATCTTTATTTCTAAGAATCTTACACTTAGAAGGAATGTCATAGAAAACCGATTGTACCAGAAAATTGATATTTTTAAGAAACTTGGTATTTTGAAAATTAAATGAATCTCAAATGGAATTATTTTGCCATCTGATTGTTAGAAATGAATTTTTTGTGAGAAATTAGAAAAAAAAGGTTAGAAAAAAAATATCAGAAAGGAAATTCTGATGAATCAAAGGCAGAATATATACAGAGGGGAAAGATTTACATGGTTACCTTTTGTACAAGAATATTAAGACCAGGTGTTCAGAAAGGGTAAGCATTCTACTTCAATAACAGCAATATAGATTTAGTCAGATCCAAGTCACATCCTCAAACTGAGAACTGGGGCAGTGACATTTAAACAAAAGGGAAGTCTTTCTCAATATACATCCCTTAAAACCCTGTGTTACTGTTATGATTATTGTGAGACATGACACATACAAAGCAATGTTTAATTTTGTCCTTGGTATAAACCGATTGTTGTGTAAATTGTAGAAAGAATCTTGTTCACGAGCATGCTTTAATTCTTAACTAGGAGTTTCTCTTTCAGATGTATAATTATTACAAGAAGAAAGTCACTGAACAACTTATCATGTGTTGCATCAGGTTTTGAAATTGAAATTAAAAAAAAAGGTTGATATCTGTAATAAATTTTTACAAAAACTTGATGTGGAGGTTATTATTGAGTTGCTTTGTCAGTAATAAAATAAATTTGTTTCTATCATTTATCTGAATACGATACAAATGTAGAAATTATCAAGTTTGCCTGTATGAAAAGTACAATATTCTCACTGTTTTAGCTGTAGAGTCAAACATGTCTTTGTCTTCAGATAAAACACTGTTGAATTGATTAAGGACTTCTCAATTAAAGTGTCTTCATTGGAAAGTGAAGATTTTTAAACACTGTTTTCAGAAATACTGAGTGATCCTTGTTAAATATCAAACCAGCTTTAACTTTGTGATGGAAACACTTTGTCAATTTATTGGATATACATGTGTTCTTTTTTATCTTAATATATCACGTTATGTTTAGTTATTGTATGCAAGGATGAAAATAGATTAACATATAGAATACATTGCCTTAGATGATCGGAAAACAAAAGAAGTTGTTTTTTTCAATACAAATATAAAGCATTGTCTTAGATAAATAGATAAACAAAAAAGTTGTATTTTTCATTGTAGATATAAAACATCTTAAAGTATCTTTTTTAAATTTGATAACCATTCTTTAAGAATGGATACATTATAAAGAATTGTACAGACATTTTTTTCTGATCTCTTGAAATGATAAAGTAATGACTAGAGGTCTGTCTTATAGTGTTATGATTACAACTCTAAAAATTGTGATCGGTTTTGTTGGTATGGAAATAATTCTTCCTGATAACTGAGGTACTTACTCTGAGGTGACGAAACACATGCAGTTTTGAATATTTGATACACACAAGTTTGTCTTCTCTGATACATCCGACCTACCTTTAACATGCCATCACTGTAGAATATCAATAAAAGTTTCCATGTTGTGCTCCAGGAACCCACACTAACACTGCCATTTAGTATTCCACTAATCCAACAGGATGGCCAGATTCAGGATTCCATCACTTAACATGCAGATTTAGTAACGACACTGACTTCTGGTGTTATGCAATAATTACTGTAATTTGAAGTTTGGCTGTATTTTGCTGGTGTGTATGTGAGCCTGGTTATTGGGAGGCAGATATCCTGAGGTCCTGGCTAGGAGTAGTAATCCATACATCCACTGCTACTGTAGCCAGATTAGGCAGGCTACCCTATTTGTATTATTCTCTATCTACACAGATGGCCATTGACAGGTACTTGTCAAATTAGTTGGTGGCTACTATTGGTCATTCTGTGAATTATTTATCTACACATATACACATCAGTTAAACGCCAGTTGATGTTGACCTAGAGATAATTAGATTAAGATAATGACCCAGGTCATTGTATGTTTTCTTTGGAACGGCCACTCTGATTGGCCGATGACACTGAGGTGTAAAAAGGTACACTCACAAGGAGATTTCCTCACCTCTTTTAGGACTTCTATGTCCTATATGGCATCTGGGGGTTCTAGACCTTTTGAGCAAGAGGCATTCTGCTAATGAGTACTCCAATCTTACCTGTACACAAAAGATGGAGTAGGTTGACCTGATTGTGACATTGTAGGCCATACAGTACATCTTACTTGTACGATTCTACCTGATGAGTACATCGTACCTGTACAATTCTATCTGATGAGTACATCGTACCTGTACAATTCTATCTGATGAGTACATCTTACCTGTACAATTCTATCTGATGAGTACATCTTACCTGTACAATTCTATCTGATGAGTACATCGTACCTGTACAATTCTATCTGATGAGTACATCGTACCTGTACAATTCTATCTGATGAGTACATCTTACCTGTACAATTCTATCTGATGAGTACATCGTACCTGTACAATTCTATCTGATGAGTACATCGTACCTGTACAATTCTATCTGATAAGTACATCTTACAGGTACAATTCTACCTGATGAGTACATCGTACCTGTACAATTCTACCTGATGAGTACATCTTACCTGTACAATTCTACCTGATGAGTACATCTTACCTGTACAATTCTACCTGATGAGTACATCTTACCTGTACAATTCTATCTGATGAGTACATCTTACCTGTACAATTCTACCTGATGAGTACATCTTACCTGTACAATTCTATCTGATGAGTACATCTTACAGGTACAATTCTACCTGATGAGTACATCGTACCTGTACAATTCTATCTGATGAGTACATCTTACCTGTACAATTCTATCTGATGAGTACATCGTACCTGTACAATTCTATCTGATGAGTACATCTTACCTGTACAATTCTATCTGATGAGTACATCTTACCTGTACAATTCTACCTGATGAGTACATCTTACCTGTACAATTCTACCTGATGAGTACATCTTACCTGTACAATTCTACCTGATGAGTACATCTTACCTGTATAAATGTACCTGATAGATACATCTTGTATAAGTCTACCTGATGAGTACATGTTACCTGTATGAATGTACCTAATGAGTACATCTTACCTGTATAAATGTACCTGATGAGTACATCTTACCTGTATAAATGTACCTAATAGGTACATTATATATATATAAGTCTACCTGATGAGTACATCTTACAGGTACAATTCTACCTGATGAGTACATCTTACAGGTACAATTCTACCTGATGAGTACATCTTACAGGTACAATTCTACCTGATGAGTACATCTTACCTGTATAAATCTGATGAGTACATGTTACCTGTATAAATGTACCTGATGAGTACATGTTACCTGTATAAATCTGATGAGTACATGTTACCTGTATAAATGTACCTGATAGGTACTTTTGAGTTGTATAAATCTTCATGATGGGTACATCTTAACACACCTGTATGTGTCTACTAGGTTGATTAATCTACATGTTTGTGCCATCTTTGTGATAAAAACCTGCCTATATTTATCTGTTTAGTATATAAACCTACCTGTATGTGTTGGGGTGGTAAATAAGCGTACCTGTTTGAGTCTAGTTGGTAGATAAACCTACCTGTATGTGTTGGTGTGGTAAATAAACATACCTGTTTGAGTCTAGTTGGTAGATAAACCTACCTGTATGTGTTGGGGTGGTAAATTAGCGTACCTGTTTGAGTCTAGTTGGTAGATAAACCTACCTGTATGTGTTGGTGTGGTAAATAAGCCTACATGTTTGAGTCTAGTTGGTGGATAAACCTGTCTGTGTGCTTGTACTTGGTTGGTGAACCCAAAGCCTCTCTGATTTTACCATATCTATATTTCTGCTTTTGTCAGTGCGGCATTATTCTGGAAAATGTATGGATTTGTTTCAAAGTAATTCTATAACAAACCCCTTCCTTTTTTTTTTAATTAAACAGGATTGTGTTTTCTACTTTGGAAGCTGCTTTAGATACTGTTACAGGACCACATCTACCACCACACATGATATGATAAATAGTTATTAATGGTTTGTTGAGAGTAAGGCACCTGTATGGGCTGTATATCTGTTGTTCACTTTCCTTGACTGCTCTTTACACTTGAGTTGTGTCAAGTCTACCTCAATGACATGAGCTTGGTACCTAAGTATATCTATACATCATTGTCCCCCAAGTCTCTAATCGTAGGTACACCTCTCTCACAGTGTGACATTCACCCCATAATTACCTAACTGGGGGATGTAGGCAAAAAATGACACTTGGGTTTGTAGATTCCGACCACGTATCTCTAGAAATATACACCTCCTGAAATTTAAATTCAAAACCCAGAGGGGGAAGGGGGGTTTTCAGGTTCGAATATGCAGAGCAGGGCAAGTTTAGATAGAATCTGAATAGATGGGATAATTATACATACTGAAAAAGTGTCTTGTCTCTCCTCTTGGACATTTGACATTTAATAACTTTGTGATCAGTTATCCCTGTATTTTTACTATATGTGTGTAAATTTATCATAATGATGTGTAACTACATATAGATTTATGTGTATATACATGTTTATTGATTAATATAGGTATACTATTACTATATAACTGTTCTTTACATATGTACAGGTGTGGTGTAACTGTACAGGTGTGGTGTAACTGTACAGGTATGGTGTAACTGTACAGGTGTGGTATAAATGTACGTGTTTACAGGTGTGGTATAAATGTACACATATACAGATATGGTATTACTGTGCTACCTTAGCTTTTTGTTAAGCAGTACTTCTGCACAATGTATTGTCAAAACTGATACCTTTTCTCAAATTTCACCAAAGCTGTATAGCAAACAATAAAGTGCCTGACGTTGTAATTGACAACAATTGTTCTCTAAAAAAATCAACTCTCTTAAATAACGTGATAAGATCTCCACTTTGGATTCTTACGACTAGTTGGCATTCATGGGAGACCTTTTTTGTCATTTGGAGACCTGCATCGTTATACTCAGCCAATTCTGATTGAAATAAATGAGCAGACTTCATGGATCTCATTCATTTCGTAAGAAATTGTTTTAACTGGTACAGTAGATTCCAACTAAACCTGTTTCCAAATTGATTATTGTATTGGCTGGTTGGTTGTTAGAAATACGAGCTTTAAATTATTGTCCTCCAGTTACACTGTCAGTCTCTCCATGGAATAAGAGAATACTTGGAATGTTTTAGCCAGACTTCCTAAAACTCGTCCTTAATCTTATTGTCAGTTATTACTGACTAAAACTCATCCTTAATCTTATTGTCATTTATCACTGACTAAAACTTGTCCTTATTCTTATTGTCAGTTATCACTGACTAAAACTCATCCTTAATCTTATTGTCAATTATCACTGACTAAAACTCGTCCTTATTCTTATTGTCAATTATCACTGACTAAAACTCGTCCTTAATCTTATTGTCAGCTATCACTGACTAAAACTCGTCCTTAATCTTATTGTCAATTATCACTGACTAAAACTCATCCTTAATCTTATTGTCATTTATCACTGACTAAAACTCATCCTTAATCTTATTGTCATTTATCACTGACTAAAACTCGTCCTTATTCTTATTGTCAATTATCACTGACTAAAACTCATCCTTAATCTTATTGTCAATTATCACTGACTAAAACTTGTCCTTATTCTTATTGTCAATTATCACTGACTAAAACTCATCCTTAATCTTATTGTCATTTATCACTGACTAAAACTCGTCCTTATTCTTATTGTCAATTATCACTGACTAAAACTCATCCTTAATCTTATTGTCATTTATCACTGACTAAAACTCGTCCTTATTCTTATTGTCAGTTATCACTGACTAAAACTCATCCTTAATCTTATTGTCATTTATCACTGACTAAAACTCGTCCTTATTCTTATTGTCAATTATCACTGACTAAAACTCATCCTTAATCTTATTGTCAGCTATCACTGACTAAAACTCGTCCTTAATCTTATTGTCAATTATCACTGACTAAAACTCGTCCTTATTCTTATTGTCAATTATCACTGACTAAAACTCATCCTTAATCTTATTGTCAATTATCACTGACTAAAACTCATCCTTAATCTTATTGTTAGTTATCACTGACTAAAACTCATCCTTAATCTTATTGTTAGTTATCACTGACTAAAACTCATCCTTAATCTTATTGTCAGTTATCACTGACTAAAACTCATCCTTAATCTTATTGTCATTTATCACTGACTAAAACTCGTCCTTATCCTTATTGTCAGTTATCACTGACTAAAACTCATCCTTAATCTTATTGTCAGTTATCACTGACTAAAACTCATCCTTAATCTTATTGTCAGTTATCACTGACTAAAACTCGTCCTTATCCTTATTGTCAGTTATCACTGACTAAAACTCGTCCTTAATCTTATTGTCAGTTATCATTGACTAAAACTCATTTATTGAACTTGTTCAGTTAATTCTAGAATTATGTACAGCCTGAGTGTGTTATTTTTTAGCTAAGTCTAGAATTATGTACAGCCTGAGTGTGTTATTTTTTAGCTAAGTCTAGAATTATATACAGACTGAGTGTCATATTTTAGCTCACAAATTAAATGATCTTATTATTTCACACTTTGATAGTGAGTGTAGCTTGA